AGGAATTAAAGTAGAAATCAATAACAAGAGGAACTTTGGAAACTATAGAAACACATGGAAATTACACAGTATGTTCCTGAACGACAAGTAAAGAAATTAAGAAACAAGAAATTAAGAGGAAAATTTAATAATTTCTTGAAACAAATAATCGAAACACAACATACCAAGACCTATGGAACACAGCAAAAGCAATACTAAGAGGGAAGTTTATACCTAAAAGCGCTTACATCAAAACAGAAGAAAAATTTCAGATAAACAACCTAATGATGCATCTTGAAGAAATAGAAAAGCTAGAGCAAACCAAACCCAAAATTAGTAGATGAAAAGAAATAGTAAAGATCAGAGCAGAAATAAATGAAATTATAATGAATAAAATATGAAAAAATCAATAAAACAAAAAGTTGGTTTCTCAAAAAGTAAAACAAAATATACAAACCTTTAACCAGACCAAGAAAAAGAGAAGACAAATAAAACCAGAGGTGAAAAAGCAGATATTACAACAGATACTGCATAAATTTAAAGCATTGTTAGTGGCTACTATCACCAACTATATGCCAATAAACTGGAAAATCTAGAACAAATAGACAAATTCCTAGACATATACAATCTACCAAGATTGAACCATGAAGAAATCCAAAACCTGAACAGACCAATACCAAGTAACAAGAATAAAGCCCTAATAAAAAGTCTCCCAGAAAAGAAAAGTCCAGGACCCAATGGTTACACTTTGGGAGGCTGATGTGCGTGGATCACGTGAGGTCAGGAGTTCGAGACCACCCTAGCCAACATGGTGAAACCTCGACTCTACTGAAAACACAAAAGTTAGCCAGGCATGGTATTGCTTGCCCATAGTCCCTGCTACTTGGGAGGCTGAGCCAAAAAGAATTGCTTGAAACCGGGAGGCGGAGGTTGCAGTGAGCCGAGATTGTGCCACTGCACTCCAGCCTGGGTGACAGACTGAGACTCCGTCTCAAAAACAAACAAACAAATGAATAAAAAACTATACTACAATAAAAATAATGCTGTATATTATTTATCAATGTACATATGTATGCAGCAATTTTTTTAAATTATTGGAACATTAGCATGAACACCTCAAAGTGTCTCCAGAGATGAGTAGAAGAGGATGGGGCTGTAGATAACGATTAAATAAAAATTTAGCTTTATTTATCATATTTTCTATCTTTAAAATATACAGTGGAAGAATATATGTTAATTTCTAAAGAGTATAAGGGTATTTTTTATATGTGCTTTCTATTTTTCTGTATCTCCTAACTTTCCAAAAATCCTTTATAGAAAACAAAGTTAATTTCTCATGTTTGAATGCCTAGTCTGAGAAAATATCACTCTTTTCCTACTTTTTGTCTAAATTAAATAGTGTAAGACCTGCGAAACATAAAAAAATCTATAAAATTAAACATTGTATGTATATAACATTTTCCTCATATTAAAAGGGAGCTCTGAAGAATGGGGCCAGCATGTTTTTTACTCATATCTTTACATGTGGCAACGGATATATATTTTGAACAAATGCAAAAGACTTATACTTAATTTTTCTTGAAAATAGCTGATGGCTATTTATATATTCCATCTATAGAATAATGCTTAGTTTAGGGCTATAGTGCATTTCAAAATAGGTTTAAAATATTTTACAATGATATGCTTTTGGGAGTCACAAATCTTTGTCATTTACCTAGTATACTATTTAGCTAATAGTTGTAAAATACTATCTATATGTCATACATATCTTTAGAGTAGGCAAAATGTAAAAAAAAAAGAATACAGTTAAAGTGATGACAGCTCAATCTAAACATGTAAAAAATCTATTATCTTGGTTAAAATTTTCTTCCAAAACTTCAGTGGTTTGGCCTATACAGTTCATATTTATTTTTCTAAGCTTTGTTGAGGAAATTCTATAATGGTTTAAAACACAACGCAATGAAACTGATAGGGAAAAAAATGCCAAAGAATACTTTGTGTTCCTCTTATCAACCTCCTAACAAACAATGGTACTTTTAATTACATATGAAAAAGCTGAAAGTCTTTGAAAAGTTTTCCTGAATATAAAGTAGTATTTTTAGTATGAAGCCTGCCCAAATATTGAAATATATCTTAAATATTACTTATTAATGCACAATAAATTCAAGGCCTATAAGTTCAAAACCTATTGATGCCTGATTCAATACTTTAGAATAAAAAAAAATGTTGAGGGTTTTAAAATCATGAGAAACAGATACAAAATAATTAAATTAGAATATTTACCGAACACACAGGAATTCCACCATAAATAAGCGGGAAAAGAAAGACTGAACTTAATCTGTTTTCCTAAGTTCCATTATTAAAAATAACACAGAAATCAACAGATGCTACCCAAATCCTCAAGTTGGTAACCTGAAAAATTTCTCAGTAGATGAGAATCTGGGATCTTGACATCTTCCATCCCAAGCTTTAGTTATTATGTGAGAGCCCACAAAGTCTATACCAATGTATTAACTAAAGATAATTTGTCTGTATCTATGTAATACTTGGGGAGTTACTTTATCAGTAGAGAATTCTTAGTTACCACATCAGTTATTTCTCCCTATGTAGAGAATATTCAAATTAAATCTAATTCTAGTTAATCACTCGTTACATTTATTTGAGTTCATAGTGATTTTTAAGATGGAAAATTTCTAAATTCTGATTCTTATTCTTTCCTGAAGTACTTTTTGAATATTAGATGTTCTTGGACCTTTCTATCATCTAAAGAAAATCTGTATTAAAAATAAAATTACATATAACAATGAAATATAAGTTATACCTATAACATAGTAGCAAAAGTAAGACATTTACCTTAGAATAGATAAGATTTGAAATAGCTAGAATTGAGAGTAGCTTCAGGGAGAAATTCATATTAAAGTAACTCATTTGATCATCTATACCATACTCTCTCTAAAATGCACATGAACCATATAGTAACTGAAGTGCTTTTTATTCTTCCTAATTTTCTCTTTACAAGTAGTTGAAATCTGTGCTAAAATGTGGATTTCTTACTTGATACTACCAAGTATGGCATCTCAAAAATTATAAGAAAGGAAATTAAAATTGGTTGCGAAAAGGAAAAAAAAAAAGTATGTCTAACACAGATTTTTAGTTGAATCCCTAGTGTACTATTTTTATTTTTCTCATAGTGTATGCAATTTAAGAAACTCCCAAGAAGTAACTATACCACTACTTTTCAAACTCTCAAAGAGGAAAACTCCTCTTCCAAGGAGAATAAGTAAAATAGTTTTTGTAACAACTCTAACCTTTTATAATTTTCCTCTGACAATGTCAGAATTTACTCTTATGAAAAGCCAGTGGTCTAGTATATTATTTAAGAGAACACTGAAAAGTTCAATTGTTTTTTGTATAATAAGATTGAACAATTAAAGCTGAGAATTTTTTCTTTCTTTTAAAAAAGGTTCTTTCATGTCACTTTGCTATTTGCACAAAAAAAAACCTTAGGAATACATATAGTTTATAATATCATGGTGAGATATAAAACAATGTCATTTAACTAGGGAAGAAAGAAAGGAAGAGTAGGAGAAAGGAAAAGGAAAGGGAAGAAAGAGAGCATATTAAAGAGAAGAAAAGAAAATACAAGCCAGTAAAATCTATATGGGATGAAATCATTTTGGGAAATGTGGTTCCTATACAGTGGTTGTGGTATCAGTGACTGTGTCTAAATTGTAACATAGAGCTCAGTCTCATCTGGTATCCCACTGCCACATTTCCAACGGCCAAGCCTGTAAAATCCAGAAACTTCTGGTGTAAGCTGGAATGCAGTTAAGGTTTGGGTACAAGGCTACTATGGGAATAAAGTCAGAACACAATTCTTAACTGTCATAACACTAATCCTTCACCATTAAAACGTTTATATGTATTGTTTGAATCAAAGCACTAGATATTAGAATTAGAGAATTTAAGTGTAACTTAAAATTATGTGTGAAAGTGATTTAAATACTGTTTTCTAATATAATGAAATTTTTTCTCTGCAAAATAATTTTCTAACAAATCATTCATTCCACAAGCAAATAACATAAAGAATGGAGACCGGGCGCGGTGGCTCAAGCCTGTAATCCCTGCACTTTGGGAGGCCGAGACGGGCGGATCACGAGGTCAGGACATCGAGACCATCCTGGCTAACATGGTGAAACCCCATCTCTACTAAAAAATACAAAAAATAGCCGGGCGAAGTGGCGGGCGCCCGCCTGTAGTCCCTGCGACTCGGGAGGCTGAGGCAGGAGAATGACGTAAACCCGGGAGGCGGAGCTTGCAGTGAGCTGAGATCCGGCCACTGTACTCCAGCCTGGGCGACAGCGCGAGAGTCTGTCTCAAAAAAAAAAAAAAAAAAAAAAAGAACAAAAAGTCTTTTCTTTTTCATTTGCTTTAAGTTCATCTCAAAGTGTAAGTTAAATTCATGCTTTAAGATTACCTTACCAGGAGTAAGGTATAATGTGAATATATTTGCCTGAGTAAAAAGAACCATGCATAGGTTTCTGGAATACATTAAAATATATACTTATATTAAAATCTTCACATTTTATACTAGTATTTGCAAAGAGTAACTGATTAATATATTAGTTTAATAATGTAACTTATCATAAACACAAAGTTTCAAACATAGGGAAATGGGTAAGCTATATATATATGTATGAAGCATGCTTTTAAAAAGTAAGATGTAACACAATACAAAACATGTAAAAATATTTCAAAGATGAGAAAAACTAAGTGGAACAGGAATGCTAGTAAAGTGTCTTTTTGATTCAGAGTTCCCTCCCTCATGTATGTTATCCTTTAATATGAGCCTTATTAAGGAAGTCCAGTAATTAAACTAATTATATTAGTAAACAGTGCCTGGGATTTTTTAAAACTCATAGACCTGCCTAACACAAATATAAACTAAACAATACATGTAAAACAAAATATCCACTTTTACAATATAGTATACAATTATTCAATCCTAAAGTTCTCTTTACCTTTATTGTCTGCCTGCTTGTCTGAAATCGTTGATCAGATACTTGCTGTTGATGGAGGAGCTTTTCATTAACTTCTTTATATTCTTTAACAGACAATTCTGCTGTTTTCTTGGCATTCTGAAGTACACTGTTTTGTTGTTGCAAGGATATAATCCGTTCTCGTAATAAAGTAACATTGCTACTTGATTTCTGGGCAGTTATATTTTTGTATTTTTCTCTGTTGACTATATAAAAATAATATTGTTCATAATATTTGAAAAATTAGATTTAATTTTTAAAAGACATATTGTTAATTGCATACACATTCTTACCTCTAGTAGGAACTGCTGTATGTGAACTCTTTTGCATCTTAGAATTCTTCTTTTGAAAAGTTGGTTTTTTGGCATTCTTACCATGAAAATAGTCCTAAATTTGAAGGTTTCATAATAATTGTATTATTCTTCAATAACAAGATCAAGTGAACTAATAAAAGTAACATCTCTTCACTTAAAAATACAATTGTTTATGCAGAATTTTTTTAAAAAGTCTGTGGGAGGCCAAGGCAGGAGGACTGCTTGAGGCCAGGAGTTTGAGACCAGCCTGGGCAACATAGCAAGACTGTCTCTTACAAAAAAATTTGAAAAAAAAATTTTTTTAACTCTAGATGATAAAATTCTATAACTGATACCAAGAACTTACAAATGAACTTACATACACTGAACTTAAACTAGCAGGCAGAAGATACAGATACAAAATCAACTCCAAAGAAATAGAAATTTAATCTAGGGACAGTTTAAAAACTTAGGAGTAAATATGATAACAGTAACAAAAGTAAAATGTGAATAATTAATAACTTATTCTCTGAAAATATAGGCCCTTTTCTCAAATACTCTATTGCATGCTGACAAATGAAGCTAATAGCCTTCTGACAAATAAAGCCAAAAATAAGGCTGACAATAATAAAATAACTTCCTGAAGCTGTATGTTTTCTTCATGGCACTCTAATACACGGAGGCTGAACAAAATGAAGCCTTTGTTGACTTTTGTTTTAAAATGTTTCACCAATTTAAAAATGTATATATTAGTAGTAAAACATGTGGTCTTAAGATTTTTTTTTTTTCTTTTGAGACAGAGTCTGGCTTTGTCACTCAGGCTGGAGTGCAGTGGCACAATTTCAGTTCACCGCAACCTCTGCCTCCTGGGTTCAAGCGATTCTCATGCCTCAGCCTCTCAAGTACCTGGGACTACAGGTGCACACCACCACCCCCAGCTAATTTTTGTATTTTTAGTAGATATGTGATTTCACAATGCTGTCCAGGCTGGTTTCAAACTCCTGGCGTCCAGTGACCCACTTGCCTCGGCCTCCCAAAGTGTTGGGATTATGGGCGTGAGCCACAGTGCCCAGCCTTGTTTAAGAATTTATTGGCTGGGGGCCGGGCGCGGTGGCTCAAGCCTGTAATCCCAGCACTTTGGGAGGCTGAGACGGGCGGATCACGAGGTCAGGAGATCGAGACCATCCTGGCTAACACGGTGAAACCCCCTCTCTACTAAAAAATACAAAAAACTAGCCGGGCGAGGTGGCGGCGCCTGTAGTCCCAGCTACTCGGGAGGCTGAGGCAGGAGAATGGTGTAACCCGGGAGGCGGAGCTTGCAGTGAGCTGAGATCCGGCCACTGCACTCCAGCCTGGGAGACAGAGCAAGACTCCGTCTCAAAAAAAAAAAAAAAAAAAAGAAAAATTTATTGGCTGGGAAACATAGATATATTCAATCTAGAAAATTATTTCTTATTTGAAAAAGAACTTTTTAAAAGATCCCAATCCAGCAACAAATCACCTGAAAGTCATGAAACCGATTAACACATACACCAGAAGTCTATATCTAAAATAAGGTTTTCCTTTAAGCCGATTAGTTTCAGAAATTATAACATCCTAACAATGTTTCACTTCTCAAAATATTTTTGAAATGCTTCATTTAAACTTATCTTTAGAACCGGCATATAAATTTTTAATTGCTTATTAAGATTCAATTAGTATTTAAGTATCAGCCACGCACTGAGCACTGTTAAAAAAAAAATCCAAAATACAACTACCAATTGAATTACTAATATCAGTCACCAGATTTGGTATCAAATCTATAGTAGCTAAAATTAAATTACAAAGAAGTGGGCTTCTGTTTCCAGTACTATTACTGAACACAAACTCAAGAATTAACTCTCATACTATGAAACAAACACACCTACAGTGTATTTCTAACATGGCAAAAAATATAAGAGAAATTGTCAGAGGCCAAAAATGAAGTGAAAGCAGACATTCAGAGACCATACAAAAGTGACCAACAATGTAGCCAGCAACATGTAGAATAACCGACAATCCCTTGTGATCTTGAAATTCCACTTAAATAGCAACACAGAACGCAGAAGGCAAGAAAGAAAGCCTAGTTCCCAATCCAAGACGAGAAATTTGAGGTCAGAAAGCTATGGCGTTGTATACATCAATAGTTAGCTCCTTTCTATTGCTGAAAAGTTTCCTGTGTTACAGATGTACCACAGTTTGTTTAGCTGTTCAGCTATTGAAGAGAATTTTGGTGGTTCCCAGTTTTCAGCTACTACAAATAAAGGGGCTTTGATCATTCATGTACAAGTTTTTTTGGTAAACATATATTTTCATGTCTGTGGGATGTGTCTAAGGGTGTGATAGCTAGATTGTATGGTAAATTTAGTTTTTTAAGAAACTGACAAACTTTTTCAGAGTGCTGTATTGTAGAATTTTATATTCACATGGACAATACATGAGAGATCCAGTTTCCCTGTCCCCTTGGTCAGCACTTGCTATTTTCACTAATTTTTACTTTAGCTATTCCCTAATAGGGATGTTGAAAATCTTTACATGTGCTTATTTGCCATCCATATATCCTTTTTTGGTAAAATGTTTGCTCCTGTCTTTTGCCTATTTTGTAACTGGATTGTTTAATTTCTTCCTGTTGAGTTTTGAGCGTGCTTTATATATTCAAGCTATAAGACTTTTGTCAGACACATGGTTTTTAAATATTCATCTCGCTCTATGGCTTGTCTTTTCATCTTCTATGTAGTGTCTTTTGAAGAGCAAAAGTTCTTAATTTTAATGAAGTCGAATTTACTGATGTTTTCTTTTATGGATCGTGCTTTTGGTATCATGTCTAAAAACTCTTCACTCAGCTCTAAGACTTGAAGATTTTCTCTTAAATTTCTTTCTGAAAGTTTTATGATTTAATATTCTACATTTATATGTGATCCACCTCAAATTAATTTTTGCATAAAGTGTAAAGTGTAGGTATAGGTTCCTTTATTTTTTGCACAGAAATATCCAATTGCTCCAGCACCGTTTTTGGAAAAGACTATCCTTCCTTTGCACCTTTGTCAAAAATCAGTTGTTCATACTTGTGTGGATCCATTTCAAGATTCTCTGTTCCATTATGTGAATAATAATGGTGGGTGTATGGTGCCATCAGTCTTGACATCTGAATCAATTTTGGGTGATAAAGATTAATGCCACTACCTGTGGGGCAAACATAGTTATTTAATTTTTCAGTCCTAAAATTTAGATTTGGGTATTTTTATATCTTCTACCTATTTGCTGAGACTTTCTAATTCTTTATTGGGATATTCTATTGCTTTTTGTTTTAGGCCTATTTTGTTTTGTTTAGGCCTGTCTATAATTGCTTGTTGAAGCATTTTGATGGCAGCAACTTTAATATACTTGTCACATGCAGATGCCTCCTAACATACAATAGGTATCCATTATTGCATCCTGATAAACTCATTAAGTTGAAAACATCATAAATCAAAAATGCATCTAACCTACCAAACATCAGAGCTTAGCCTAGCCTACTCAGAACACTTACATTAGCCTATACCTGGGCAAAATCATCTAACACAAAGCTTATTTTATAATAAAGTATTGAATATGTCATGTAATTTATTTATTGAATATTGTCCTGAAAGTGATAAAAAGAACCGTTGTATGGGTACTCAATGTACAGTTTCTACTGAACATGTATCAATTTCACACCAACATAAAGTAGAAAAATTTTAACTCAAACCATTGTAGTGAGTTGGGGACTGTGTGTAACTTCGACAACTGTCATCCTGCTGTTGGCTTCTGTTGATTGTCTTTTCTTGTTATAGTTGAGGTTTTCCTGGATCTTGGTATGAGGTGTGATTTTCAACTGTATCCTGGACATTTTGGCTATTATATTTCAAGGTTCTGTATCTTACTTGAATCTTATTTGAACAGGCCTCATCTGACACCACACTGATGGGGCAAGGAGCACACCATCTAATTACTGCCAGTTGGAAGTGGCAGTCTTAGTTGACAAACTGGTTGGGGAGGGCCACCTCATTACTGCTTGGTGGAGGCAGAACTTCAGGCTACCCAATAGGCATCTGCTGATACCATCATGGCTGGATAATGGAGGGGGACCTTGTTAATGTTCCCCACTAGGCTTCCACTGACATCATGGGGAGGGGGTTGGGGCTTGTTAGGTGTGAGTGGTAATTAAATTCCCCATCTCTGCACTTGGCCTCTGAAATTATCTTGCTCAGAAGCGAAAGGCATTTCATGCTGAATGGAGATGGATATCCAGGTTCCCTATGTGATATCCAGTGACATGGAAAGGAGAGAGCCAGCAGTTCTTAAACTTTTTGGCACCAAAAACCAGTTTTGTGGAAAAAAATTTTTGCATGGATGGGGGGTGGAGGGGGTTGGGGAGGTGGAGATGGTTTCGGGATGAAATTGTTCTACCTCAGATCATCAGGCATTAGATTATCACAAGGAGCAGCAACCTGGATCCCTTGCATGCACAGATCACAATAGGGTTCATACTCATGTGAGAGTCTAATGCCTCCGCTGATCTAACGGGAGGCAGAGCTCAGGCCGTAACAATGGCTCACCCACCTCTCACCTTCTGCTGTGTGAGTCATTTCCTAGCAGGCCACAACAGGTACCATTCTGCAGCCCAGGGGTTGGGGATCCCAGGAGGAGGTCATTATCACTAGCACCACACTTGGTCTTCTCTGGCATCACTCTGATAGGAGGAGGAGAGGTGAAGAGTATCTACTTATTGCCAGGTAAGAGTGGGAATCTAAGTTCCCATTAGGTCTTTACAGATGGGGCTGGAAACAGGGTTGCAATTTTTTCTGTGGTGTTTGCCTGGAGTAGGACACTTAACTGTGTAAGCTTCTCTGTCTTGCTAGGCTGGCCTTTTCCAGGTGACTTGGCTAAAAGAAGAGTTTTATCCGGGGCATGTATTGTCTGACCTACTGGGGTTTCTAGGTTGGGGATTTCAGGTATCCAGGCCAGGATACATGAAGCAAAATGAAAACCCAGAGAACTCACCACCATGTTGTTCCTTGAGTGATGAGGTACCTAGCTGGTCTGCTGCCTTCTCTCCACCTTTCAGCATCTTCTTCTTGTTTTATATTAATTTTGGTTAATAGAGTCACTATCAAAATCTCAAAAAAAGTTTTTGTAGAACTTAAGCTGATTTTAAATTCATTTTGAAGAGTAAAGGACCGAGAAGAGACTCTTGATGAACAAGAAGGTAGGAAACTTGTTCAACAAGCAATGAAGACTACTAAAATGAAACTAAGACAGCATGATACTGACACATTTACTGAAGGAATAGAAGAAAAAGCCTAGATAAATATCCCTATGTTTATGTACATTTGATTTACAATAAAGGTGGCACCTTTGAAGAAAGCAAGAAAAAAAGTTCATGACAAACATTGGGAAAAAATTGGTAAAATTAATCCCTATCTTACATCACATGAAAAAAATCAACACTAGACATTGATGTGAAAATCAAAACAGAAAAATATAGGAAATCAGAAAAATATAGGAAAAGATAACATGAAAGGTCATATAGGATATATCTATGTTACAGTAAGCAATGTATTATACAGAACACAAAATGTGCTATTCATAAACAAAAAATTGGTAAGTTTGGCCACTTTAGAATTGAGATGCTATATTCTTCAGAAGACTCCAGAAAGAAGAGTAAAAAGGCACACCATGGAGTAGGAAAAGATATCTACAATACATAACTAACAAAAGGCTCATATATAGCATATATAAAAAATTCTAAGCCAGTAAGAAAAATACAGATAACTCATTTGGAAAATGGGCAGAGACTTGAAGAGGCAATTTACTAAAGAATTCCAAATGGCCAATAACCATGAGAAAGTACTCAACATCATATTAGTAATCACAGAAACTTAAACTCACAATGATATACCTCAACATACACAAAAAAGTAGATGAAATGAGAAAGATTAACCTATCAAGTGTCAATGAAGAGCAGCAAAAATTTCTATAAAATCTATTTATCAATCAATCAGCAGACATTTAGCATATATTCTTGGTCTGAACTTCATTCTGGTAATAACTAAAGACCTTTCCTCCAAAGTGCTGGCAAGAGCTCAAAAAATAAATGTTTTTGAATTATGTTTTAAAAGAATCTTATAGGTTAATTCAAAGACAACCTAATTTTTACAACAAAATAAAAATGAACTTTCCTTAATTTTTCACTGATTTATGCTAAATAGGTAAACATTTAGTGTCATGTTGTATCAGTAGTAGGAATTACTGAATAAGTTGTATTAGAACTTTAATTTTTCAAAATTTAAAATACATTGAGAAGTTAGTTAAAAACAAGTAATTTAAAGATTTAATCAGACTAAATGACTTTATTATTGCAAAGACTAATATACAAAAAGAAGTTTCCTCACTTGGAATATTTCATATACCTAAAAACAATAATGAGCTTATTAACCACTTTTTTGCTGAGATATAAATACCTTAAGAATTATAATAATAGTATTTATTTTCATTTTTATCTATGAAAAAGCTAACAAACAAGTACTTGAAAATTATTTAAAAGTGAATATTTTCACTGTATACTTCAAAGAAGACTTAACTTTTAAGAATTCAAATTAGGCCGGGCGCAGTGGCTCAAGCCTGTAATCCCAGCACTTTGGGAGGCCGAGACAGGCGGATCACAAGGTCAAGAGATCGAGACCATCCTGACTAACATGGTGAAACCCCGTCTCTACTAAAAAATACAAAAAAAACCTAGCCGGGCGAGGTGGCGGGCGCCTGTAGTCCCAGCTACTCAGGAGGCTGAGGCAGGAGAATGGCATAAACCCGGGAGGCGGAGCTTGCAGTGAGCTGAGATCCAGCCACTGCACTCCAGCCTGGGCAACAGAGGGAGACTCCGTCTCAAAAAAAAAAAAAAAAAAAAAAAAAAAACAAAAAAAAGAATTCAAATTAAATCAACAGTAACATTTATTTACTTAAGTTATAAAGCATAAGATAAAATTTAAAACATAGCATACAATCAAGCAAAATTGTGTCATTTACCGTTGGGGTCTTGCCATCTATATTTAAATATGTCTGTACTATTTCTTTTCCTTTTGTTTGGCTGTCTTCTGTTGGATCACTTTCTTCCTGGTCTTTTCCATCTTCTGTAGGACTTATTTTCTGGGATGTTTCTACAATAATTGTTCCCAAAGTTTGAGAGGTCTGTGCTTCAGAATCACTGCTTTTCAGAAAAAAGTAGGGACATAAAACCCAAGAATAAAAGTTGTTACATGTGCTTGTCTTAAGTTCAAGACCAAATAATATTCTAGGATAGACTGTATATAAAAGCTGCAAGTTTAATGTGGGCATTTACTGGTTCTCAATGTAAAAGGGAAAATCAGTCAAAATATATTGTACAAAATTAAAGAATTCCATCAAGAAAACAGATTATCTAATTTCAAATCCCTACCAACATCATTTCTATAGTACTTCTACCAAGTGTTAACTCAGGAAGCATTTGCTATAACACTTCCAAGGTTGGAGCATGCATTACTTTCCCAACATGGCCAGAAAAGTTTAATATTTCTAACAAAGTTTTTCCTTCACCTGAAACAAAATTTGAATCTCTGAAGCTTTCACCCACTGATTCTAGTTCCATCCCTTATGGCTATTTATCATTCAATAAAATACTTCTTAAGCACCAACTATGGGCCCAGGCACTTTTTTTTTTTTTTTTTTTAAAAGACAGAATCTCGCTGTGTCACCCAGGCTGGAGTGCAGTGGCGTGATTTCAGCTCACTGCAACCTCCGCCTCCTGGGTTCACGCCATTCTCCAGCCTCAGCCTCCCCAGTAGCTGGGATTACAGGCGCCCGCCACCACGCCCGGCTAATTTTTTAGTAGAGACGGGGTTTCACTGTGCTAGCCAGGATGCTCTCAATCTCCTGACCTCGTGATCCGCCCACCTCAGCTTCCCAAAGTGCTGGGATTATAGGCATAAGCCACTGCACCCAGCCAGGCCCAGGCACTTTTGTTGGCATAAAGGCTAAGGTGGTAGTGAACAAAGTAGAAAAAAAATCCCTTCCCTCATGTAACCTTTATCCTGGTAAGGGTAGAGGGACAGGAAACAAGAATAAGGAGTAAAATACATAGTATGTTAATAGTGATGTGTTAAAGAGAAAAAAATAAACAAAAATCAACAAGGGTAGGAGACGGGAAGTGTTGAGATTGTGTGGAACATATAAGTAAGTCCCTTTCCCACATGGATGAGCTTTTAACTATTTAGACATTGTTATATGCTGCTTGAGATACCATGAAGAATAGCTTGTTCAAATGTTCCTAACATATATATTTTTGAGATGCCTTATCTCCCTGATCAATCTTTTTTTTTTTTTTTGAGATAGAGTCTCACTCTGTTGTACCCAGGCTGGAGTGCAGTGGCACGATCTTGGCTCACTGCAACCTCCGCCTCCAGGGTTCAAGCGATTCTCCTGCCTCAGCCTCCTGAGTAGCTGGGATTATAGGTACCCACCACCATGCCTGGCTAATTTTTTGTATTTTTAGTAGAGATGGGGTTTCACCGTGTTGGTCAGGCTGGTCTCGAACTCCTGATCTCAGGTAATCCACCTGCCTCAGCCTCCCAAATTGCTGGAATTATAGGCGTGAGCCACCACGCCCGGCCTCCCTGGTCAGTCTTGAATGTGTTTCAGCTCATCATGATGGAGCATCATGTCCAGAATTCAGTTTCATATTCCTGGGACACTATGAGAGATACTGAGTAACACTCTTGGTAGATGCAGACTAAAAGTGTGTAAGCTTCTTTAGCATGTACATCATGCTACAGACTCAACTAAGATTTAACAAAACCACCTAAAGTATTTCAAATAAAATTTAACAAAACCACCCAGACAACTATCAAAGCCACATATTTCTCCCATGGTACATGCAACTGGTATTTTACAGCCAAGTAAACTATCCTGTAGGTATTTGTGTAAATATATTCCCAGTCTATTGAGATCTTTGGGGATCTTGATTCTATTGTGTAACATATTTTACATCCCTTTCAACATCATGTTAATCACAATTTGATAAACATGCTTCGATGGAATTTAGATGTTCTGTATTTAGTGTAATTCTATTTTAAAAGGTTATTGGTTAGTCTGAAGAACCCATACTGGCTTTGAGAAATCACTATTTCTTTTAAGAAACATTCATAAAGTATTATTTGATAATGTCCTAGAACCTTATTTAGGATTTATTTCAAAAACATCAACTGTAGAATTATCCTTGTGTTTTTAATATCACAACTACACTTTTCTGTTTTCCATATTCCCATACCACTTGGGTTCTCCTTCAAAATACCAATAGCAATTGATCAAATCTACAAGTTATTTCAAAATCCTAGAATTCATTATTTCTGAATCAGAATACTATAATTTGCTTACATGTTCTACTATAATTGTCTACCTCTTTTTGTGTTCTATTCCTCTTTTTTGTTTAGCCAAAACTTAGCAGAAATTCAATATGTAATGCCCAAAATGGTATGAAAGGTGTCATAAAAAGCAGTATATTTCATAATAAGACACTCTCAAAAGAAACTATTTAGATTTGATTGGAGAGCCCTTGTTGGGGGGTAGGCAGGGGCAGCAGCAGGGAGGCGTGTCTCTTAGTGATGGGGCAGAGTGCTTCCTTCTCTTTATAATTCTTTATTCATTCATTATTCAAAAAAACATTTATTGAATGGCTACTATGCCCTATGCATGTGAAGGAACTGATGAACAAATTCTACAAATAAGTTTCCAGTCTATCCACGAAGAAAACAATAAGCACAATAAATCTGAAATATGATATAGTATGTTATAAATTATTAAGTGCAACTGGGGAAAAAATGAGCAAGAGGAAGGAATCCAAATTATGGGAGGTAAAATGGCAGCAGGCTGAAATCTGAAATAGATTGATCATTAGTAATACTGAAGCAAAAACTTAGAGGAGAGGGAGTCGGTTGTTTTAGATATGTGGCTAAATACATTCCAGGCAGAAGACACCATCAAACTCAAATCCCTAAGGTAGAAGTTCCTGCTTTCAGGGAGCAACAATCAGTCCAGTGTGGGTAGAACACAGTAAATACGGACTAAAGACAAGGTTGAAAGCAGAGAGGGTTGTTAGGAAAGTTCTTTTCGTATTCCAGGCAACTGATGATAGATAAAAGAGTGATGCCAACCAAACTGATAAGAAATGGTCAACTTCCGGATATTTTTCTAAAGAAATCCACCAAGATTTCCTGATAGAGTAGATGTAATGACTGACAGAAAGACTGGAATCAAAGATGGTATCAAGCTTTTGGTCAGTGCAACTGTAAAGATAGAATTATCATTAGTGAGAAAGAGGAAGACAGCAGATGAAATAGGCTTGGTGGGATAAAGCCCAGGAGTTTGTATTAGGCTATTTGATATCCAAGTATGATGGTAAGTTGACAGTTAACTTCACATGTCCAAAATTCAGAGCCTGACCAACATGGAGAAATCCCATCTCTACTAAAAATACAAAATTAGCTGGGCATGGTGGCGCATGCCTGTAATCCCAGCTACTCTGGAGAATCGCTTGAACCCAGGGGGCAGAGGCTGCAGTGAGCTGAGATCGCAACATTGCACTCCAGCCAGGGCAACAAGAGCAAAACTCCGTTTCAAAAAATAAAAATAGTAATAATAAGATAAAATTCAGAAGTGAGGTCTAGAATGGATACATACATTTTGGGGTGCCTGGAATATAGGTGGTAACAATGATGTTAAATACTATGAGATCACAAAACAATGAGTGTAGATTTTAACGTGTCCTCCAAAGTTTACATCTTGGAAATATAATCCTCAACGCAACAGTGTTGGGAGGTAGAATCTAATAAGAGGTGATTAGATCATAAGTCCTCATGAATGATTTAATGTTATCATGGGAGTGAGTTTGTTATAAGAATAGGCTTGTTATAAAAGCAAATTTGGTCCCCTCTTGCTCTATCAGGCTCCTTGTCCTTCCACCTTCAGCCATGATAACACAGCCAGAAGACCCTCACCAAATGTGGTGCTCTCAACCTTGGACTTCTCAGCTTCCGGAACTGTAAGAAATAAATTTCCTTTCATTATAAGTTACCCGGTCTGTGGTCATTTTTTTGTGTTGTTACAGCAACACAAAATGTCCAATGACTGAAGACAATATGAGGGAATGAGGGGGAATGCCACAAAACTAACAAATGACACTGAGGTTAAATATCAGTAAGAAGAAGGAAATAAAGAGTATGGTATGGCAAACTATAATAACAAGAGGTAGAAATCAACTGTGTCGAATGCTGCTGAGAAGTCAAGTAAGGTGGGGACTGAGAATCCACGTTTGAATTTGGCAAAGTGGTAGTGACCCTCAAAATAATTGTTTTAGGCTGGGCGCAGTGGCTCACGCCTGTAATCCCAGCACTTCGGGAGGCCGAGGTGGGCAGACTGCGTGAGGTCAGGAGTTCGAGACCAGCCTGGCTAACATGGTTAAACCCCATTTCTACTAAAAATACAAAAATTAGCTGGGGGTGGTGGCGCAAACCTGTAGTCCCAGCTACTCGGGAGGCTGAGGTAGGAGAATCATTTGAGCCCAGGAGGCAGAGGCTGCAGTGAGCCAAGGTCACACCACTGTACTCCAGCCTGGGAGACAGAGCAAGACTGTCTCCAAAAAAAAAAAAAAATTTGTTTCAGAGGGATGATGAAGGGATGAATGGAATTTGAAACAAGGATTGTATACAACTTTTTAAATTTTCACTGTCAAGGACAGCAAATATGGAGAACTACTAGGTAAAGGGGAACTAACAGGTATATAATGAATTCTCTGGTTTCCAAACATAGTCCTCCTAATTTTACCTCAATAATTGGGATAATTGCTCTGGCTAATACCGTAGCTCCTTTTGACAGTTTTTATTTCAGTATGGGGAATCCAAAATGGCCAGGGTACAATCTCAGCTTCTACCTCTATAGACCATAATTGTGTTCCCTCAGAGAACTTTCCTATCTTGGGCATCAGGACTCTCAAATCCCCTAGCCGAAGGTCATACTGATGAGAAGCAAAAATTCCTCCAGTGGGTTATTTGGTTAAATAATTACAGAGGCCAATCCAACATAAATACTTTATTCCTGGAACTATGCACTCTTGGAGATAAAATAATAAACTGTCAGTTTAAGGCATATATTCTAACTTCAATATTGTCTACTAGCTGG